ATGGAGATCGAGAAGCAATTCTTGAAACTAATTTATGATAAAAGGCCAGAATAAATATAGGCAGATAAATAAATAATTAAATATCTTCTTCACTAATATTATGTACTATATATGTATAATTGATGAATTCGTACACAAATCATAACCATAATTCTTAAGTGCAGAATTACATATGGCATAGCAATAAAAAAAAAAAAAAAGTTGAATTATTATGCTTATAATTGGAGTATAAATGAAAATTTTCTACTTTCACTTGTTGTGCAAAGGGTTTGACCCGGTTGGCACAAGTCGCTTATTTTCCGACACAATCTTGTTTCTTGATGAATACCTGGCAAAATGTAGCCTGATTGAGGTTCCTTTTCTGGCGAATTCCGGTAAGGGCGCGTTTGGTTCGGTCTCGTGATTGCTCGGAGGCAGGATAAACTCTTTTGCTTGAATCTCATGTTGCACAAGAACAAGTAGTAGTACAAAAATCCTCATCTCAAAAGCTTAAAACTCTCAACTGATTTTTTTTCTTCAAGAATGATTTTATTTGTGTGTAGATTGTTTACTTATATACTTGAAAGTGACAAAGTATAGACTATAGAGTATATAGATTTTCATGGGGTGTGTTTGGTGGGAGCAAAAGGAAACAAAGTGGTTTGAAGGTTTGAAAGGCATTTATTTTACTATGTACAATGGAAATTCTTTTTGATCTCCATATCATAAGGTCTCACCAAACTGCATTAATTGCTTTGGAAATGAATCAATGAACCATTGGATATAAAAAGAAAATGAAACAGAAAGCGAACCTGGGATTGGTGTCAAATTAAGGGAAGAGTCGATCCTACCGTAGTGCAGTTATCTAATTTTTACCGTTAGATCAACACACACACCCATGTGGGTATGTGTGTATGTGTGTTGATCAAATAGTAAAAGACCCGATAATTTCAGTGCGGGACTGCAGTGCAGTTACTTGATTTTTATCGTCAGATCAACACACACTCATGTGGGTATATGGGTATATGTGTATGTGTGTCGATCCAATAGTAAAAGACCCGATGATTTCAGTGTGGGACTGCAGTGCGGTTATCTGGTTTTTATCGTTAGATCAACACACACTTTATTTTTACCGTTAGATCAACACACAGTACTCATGTGGACATGTGTGTGTTGATCAACAGTAAAAGACCCGGTAATTTCAGTGCAGTCAGTAAATAAAAGGAAATGGGAAAAAGGGGTAAGTTAGAAAACATTGGACTAAGATATGTTTGTGTCCAAATGAGGGGTAAGTTAGAATCCATTGGAAAACACACTCTTACACAATCGTATTGATCCAACGGTTAAAAATTTTGTCTAAGCAGATAGGATGAAATTTGCCTCAAATGAAGTGAAAAACCTAAGAAGTCAATAAAATGGATTAATAAGAACTCAATAGAAACACACAATTAACAACTTAAAAGCAAAACAACTAGACTACAATTCACCCCAAATGCATTGCAAGCATTGAAAAACCCAACAAGACAATAAAATGGATTAATAAACAACTAAATAGAAACACACAATTTAACAACTTAAAAGAAAAACAACTGGACTGCAATTTCCATCCTGTAATTCTTAGAGACTGACAATTTTAATTCTTATTTTGAATTCTTTTTGTTTTAGCAGTTGCAATATTGGCAATTCTGTTAAAAAAGAAAGTATGATTGTTTAATAATTACATTTGCCTAAAATTGTTAAAAAAGATTGGAAAAAATAAAATAAAATTGTTAAAAAAGATATGATTGTCCAACTATTACACTATTATGTTTTATGGGCTCATAGGCCCTTTGCACATTGTTTCTGAAAATCTGTATATATATAATAAGAATTACTATTTACTACATTTAGAAAGTAATTCCCGCTAAAAAAATTAATTGTATACTATAAATAGAAATAAAAGATAGAGTATTAAATGCAATAGTCAATTTGTTAGGTCAACTGCATGAATCTCGCCAGCGTACTAACCATATTTTCAAAAACAGTTTGTACAGAATTTTGTGATACTTATCCTTAACATAATCTTAATAATTATTTTATAAGTCCAACCCATAAACATAAATCTAGGCGTGGATAACTAAGAAAAAAAAGATTATTTTTTAATTGAATAAGTAGTTCGGCCATAGATTTTCAGACTAGCTAAATTTGAACTTAATTGAACAAAAGTAGTTCTGCCATAGATTTTCAAACTATTTTGTACGTCTTTTTTAATAAAAAATATTTTGTACGTTATTTTTAATGATAATTCGGGTATCTAAATATTTATTATGCATAAATTACTAAACATAAAAAAAAAACGAATTTCCAATACATTTTGTACTCACGTGACGTGTTTTTGTATCATAATTCTGGTATCTAAATATTTATTATGCTTGCTGACGTGTGCTTGTAAACGGTAAAAAAACTAATTTTCAAAATATGTTGCACTCACATCTTTTTGGGAAATATGCTTGGCGTGTACTTGCACTCACATCTTTTTGCCAACGTGTATCCAAATACATGTTTTATGTTCTTTTATACAATAATTTTATAGTATTTACAATAAAATATGCTCGGTTGTTGGCTCCGTGATGGAGCCAACAGTTGACTCCTTAGCATTACTTGTAAATTATATCACGTGTTAACCCACATTATTATTTAATATTATTTATTTACATCTTTAATTTATAACTAACATTTAATATTGTTTACACGTATATCACACGGCTACGCACTAGTTATATGGGAAATTTTCATGTATACTTACATATTTTTAGATAATTGCAATATTATCATCCATACCAATTAAATTTTGTATATACCTAAAAGATAAATATTAATTATAATCATGCCTAAAATCAGTTATAAGGTAAGTGGAACAACCTTCCATGTTCCTAGCGCGTAATCTCAGGAAATCGGGCAAAGAGTACGAAATTTCACGAAATCTTCGTCGCCTATATATATTGCTTTAACATATACTGCAAATAAACTGTACATATACCCGTCGAACGTCTTCCTGTTAATGTCATGAGAAAATATACCGAGAATATACTGATAATATACCGTCGAACGTCTTCCTGTTAATGCCATGAGAAAATATACCGAAAAGATATTGATAATATACCGAAAATTTTTAACTATTACATACTATCGAACGTCTTCCTATTAATGTCATGAGAAAAAAAAATGGAAAACAGTGAAACATGACTAAAAATATACTGGAAATAAACCACACAATTTTCATTGAACAATAAAAACAAGAAAAAACTACAAAGTATAGACTCAAAAAATCAACTGAACACAAACAAAATGATACAAATAAGCAATTCTCATTCCTCCCAAAAGACTAATAATATACTGAAGAAAATCAATCCGACCGAAACAAACATTCGTCAACAAAAAAATTTGCTAATATACTAAACATAAGCTTATTTTTTGGCAGGGACGCGGGTCATATACTGTACATATACTGCATATATACTCAGAAAAAATAAACTATAAATAAACTATCCCCAACCCATTTTGACGCTCGCAAATCGCAATCGCTCCAAACAACCGTAACCAGGTAAATTCGTCTAAAATTAATAGCAAACTACGTGGAGATATGGCTTGATTTCATGATCCCCAAGCCATTTCCGAAGCTCGAAATCGCAAGACCAATCGATTTTCAATCGTACAAGAAAACAAAAAATCCAAAAAACCGTAACCGGGTAAATTTGTTTGAGATAGCCTCCGAGCAGCCATCGCGAACACTTTTCTCCCGTTGACGAGACCACCGGCGATGGCCCCGCATACGAACAGCACCGCGCCGGAGAGCCGTTCGAGATGCCACAAGTCTCAGCCGCACCAGGTCGAGGAAAGTCGCGATCCGCTGCAACCCTAGCGTCGGCGATCGATCTCCAGCTGTCCTCGCCGTCGCAGCCGCGAAGAAACGACCGCACCTTGACGGGGAGGCAGAACGCCACCTCTCCGACACCACCCCAAATCGCCACCCCCTGAGCCGACGGCGCCCATTCCCATCGCCGTCAATAGCCAATTTCGGCCAGAGGTAATTGAGTAGTTGAAAATGGAAGAAAATTAAAAGGGGAATTTTTAGAAGTAAATTTGCAGTGAAGAGGGTGAATTTGAAGAAGAAGAAGAAGAAGAAGAAGAAATGGAGATCTGCGAAGGAGGAGAAGTAAAGGAAGAGGAAAGAAAAGTGACGGGAAATAAGAAGAAAAGAAAGAGGAGGAGGAAAAGAAAAAGGGAAAAGAAAAGAAAAATGTATTAATTATCTCAATTAATTCATTTTTCATATTTAAATCTTAAATTAATAAACTTATAAAATCTGGTACATGTGCAAATATGTTGGAATGATTTTGTATTTTTGCAAATAAATATTAATTGGATGTAAATATGTAATATAAAATATATATGATTGTATGGAGTGTAAATTCCTCTAGTTATATTAGTTAAAATTAAAATATTTTGAGTGAAATGGGTAGGTATTAGGCTTTATATATGACGGCCCAAACAAATTTTTAGCCTGCCCAGCCGGATTTTAAGATTTGGAAGTGTAATTCTTTTTTTTTTTCAAAAAAAAATCTATTTAATAGGTCAGTCTTTATTTGATCTTTTAGTACTTTCCAGAAAAGTCAACTGCATTAAATGTCATTACTATTTTGGTATTATAATATTTTATTTATTTATTTATTTTAAAAAAATAAGTATAATAAAAATATTTTAATAATAAAAAACCAAATACCAAATAAAAAATGTAGACTTTGACTTATTTGATTATACTTGGTATTTGATTATACCAAATATGTTCCTATTTAGTATATACATTAAATACTTACTAAAGTACTTATTTGTTTTATTTGTCAAAGTTAAGTATAGATTTGTTTATATTATCAAATCATAAAAAAATATTAAATCCATATTGTGAAAAAAAAATCATATAATTTTATAATAACATAACTACACTATTTAACAATATTTCTTTTTTATTATATAATAAAATAATAATTAATCATTATATGATGAACAACAACAAATAAAACTGTTACTTTCTTTTATACCAAGGGATAAATTTATATGCTAAAATTAATTTTTTATTAGTATAAATGTTTTAGTGAGACAATATATTAATTATTTTACAAGCTAGCCCTAACTTTCTCATATTTAATGTTTTAAAAGATGTAGAAAAAAACTTATAATAACTCTATTGTTTTTTAGACTTACACGTTGATTAAAAGAGGTAAAAATTCCTAATATTTTAGACTTAACGTTGATTGACACCATAGATTATTTAGTAAAATTCCTAATTGTAATAAAAAAATCAACTTTTACTATATTTTAGAATATCTTTAAATTCATTATAAAAAAAAAACTACAATGAAAAAAGCAAGTCAGCTATATATCGATATGTTGTACTCCTCAAATCACATTCACAATTTGGCTACAAGGAAAGGAAACTCATTGATTAAAATATTATTTTATCAGTAGTCTTAATGTACAAGAGACTTTAAGACTTTACTTGAATATTATAAAACTTTTATTGAACATTGTACAATATTCTTGCGTATTATAAACTTTTATTAAATATTGCATCTTATAATATAATATTCTCTAAATAAATATATCCCGTGGGACACGTACTATATATATCCCGTACATTTTTCTTTATTCATGTATATAATTATAAGCCTGGATAAATAGCCTTAAAAGTGTGCACTCCGTGCGTCGCACGGGCTCTGTACTAGTGTTATTTATTGCCGGTCAAACTTCACCTATCAAAAATTATTTTATGTTAGCACTATTATTTCAAAGTTATTTCCTACTATACAGAAACAATATCTAGACCTAGGCAAGTGTTTTTTCTTATGTAATTTACCAGTTTTACCTTTTAAATTGTTAAACATCATGCTATCCAAATCATTCTCCCTGTACCATGTAATGAAATGATTAAGGTCACTCTCTAGATGAATATTAGATTATCTTTTCCTCATCTTTATGCCATTACTCTAATTCTGTCACTTTGAATCCAACCTTTAATTGGAATTCATATTATTAGACAAAGGGTTTAAAATATATGTATTTCGTAGTTAGAAATTAGACTACTTGGTAACTGGTAAGTCATATTTTTCTACACGATACTTTTCTATTTTGATTTTGGGTAGATAATATAATCAATAGATATACCATAAGAGCTGTTTTGGTGCATTTTCAAATTCAGACCTCAAAAAAGCCATTTTCATATATAGTCCGTATATATTCAAATATAAATAATTAAATATTTGAACTTATCTCATTTGTATATAGTGGTTATCCGAACAGAGTTATTCAAAAACACAAGCTGGATTTGGCTTGGTGAAAAATCAAAGTTGGACTCGTTCCTTACTGAAATGTCGAGGTCAAATAACTAACTGACCTCGTTTATTAAACAATCTTATTTAGTTATGTATTTATTTATTTATCATTCATGGGTTTTCATTGTTCTCACAGAGGGTTGCAGAAAATCACTCGGACCCAAACACTCGCACACCATCTGAAGGGGAAAAAGAATGCACTGAATCTGCTTAAAGCTGCAAGCTTTTTGCATCTGAAAGAGTGAATCAAAAGAGATGTTCCGTTTTTTTTTTCATCCGAAAAGATTTCAGGAAGATTCTCAAGCGCAAGGACAGTGATGCTGGTGAAAAGGGTTCGCAATTTCTTCTCTAATCTTTTTCTGTTTCCATTTTTCGCTGCATTTTTGCTCTCAATTTTTACTTTTTTTACGAAGGGGTATCGTTAATTTTGAATTGCAAAATGTCGGCGCATTCTTGATTTTGTGTGTTATTTTTGCAAAAGATCAATTATATAAGAGGTTGTTGTTAAAAGCTACAACCTTTCGGAACAATATTTTCTCAACTAATTTGATTTATGGTCTTTTCTAGGAGCTTTAGCATTGTTTCTATTATACTCGGTTAGAACTTCGAGCAGTCCTAATCAACTGTTGATCTAAATCTCAATAGCTATTTAGTTTATTAATATATAGAGTTTGATGAATGTAAGTTATGCTTCTTCTGCTTCGACCATTGGCGTATATGACCTAACCTTAGAACACGAATCATAGGATCAGCTATTATGATTGTCGAGTAGGACTTTTGTATGAATGTAATATCTTATATGTTCACATACCCTCAACTTTCCCTTGTGCTCGAACCGGACCAATTGTTGATTACATAATTGATTTGTTGAGAATGATTTGCATGTGGCCATTTACATTCTTTATTTTACTAAAGTTGAAGAGGATTAGATCTTTAATTTGTAAGAGCTACATGTCGGCAATTTGATGTAATTTGTCAATGGAAAATCTGAAAGTCGAAATAATGCTATGAGATCTTTAAACCAACATGGTGACTCTTTCATAACTTAGTTATAAAGAAGAATTAATATCACTTACACTTTATTATTGTTACTCAGTTACTGTTAAGAAAGGTTCCCAAAGTTGCTTATTTTATTAGAGAATTTAAAAAAATATTGTGAACGTCTGCAAAAAGAGCTTGAAGCTCAACATGCTTCTCAAAGATAGTGTGTTTGTGTATTGTTCGAGTTCTGTACGTAATACTATTAGCTTTGACTTTTGTTTAATTGTGTATGGAATATCTTGTGTGCAAGTTGAGTTATGTGTCAATGTTCTGTAGCTTATACTGCAAGATGGGAACAAAAAGGCCTAGAAACATTAATTTTAAGAAAGCTGAAACAATCAATGTAAGGTTTTCTAAGTATTATTATTCTTGTATAAGCAATTAAGTATTATTTTTTATTTATTTATAATTAAATATTATGTCATAGGTTGGAGTTATAGTTGAAGATGGAGCCTTAAGGTTGGAGAACAAGTTAATTAGTTTGAAAGAAAAGGTGAATTATATGGTTCGACCCATGACCAATATGGATTTGAAGTTAGATGGATTATTTGATTTGGTTAATTCTCTTAAAGGCTCAATTATTGATGAAGTTGTTGAGAAGTTAATATCAAAAGATACATCTAACATACTGAAGGCAAAACATTCAAAAAATGAACCCGAATTCGATCATAAAGCATTTGTTGATGCAACGCATTCTCGTGAAAAATTAGATGCCGCTACTAAAAAAATATTATTATAAGTTCAAAGTTGATGCATCTATGAGTGGAATGGGTATGAGTAGAATAAAATTGCATGAGCTTCATATAGTGTTAAGTGATTCATCTATAGTAACTCCATGAGATTTAAAGAAATAAGGAAAAGAGTGATATATACAAAATCAAATGCTTCCAATGCGTATGAAGAAGTTTCTTCCAAATTTATGAGTTCGAAGAATGACACAAAGAGTCCTTGAAGAGGCAAGTAAAAGTATCTATTTCATATGCATAAATTTGCTTACAAACTACATCTAGAAATTTGGTTAGAAGTTTCTCGCTATTCATATCCCATAGCATGTTATTTATTTTTGTATTAGAGTGTTGGAGAGGATTTTAGTATTGAAGAGAAGAATATTTTGAAGTACATATCCGATATAAACCACAGCCAAAAGAGTTTATTTGTAGGAACTATACTTTTATCATTAAAATGCATATAAAATTTATTGCTAATTTATTTTCTTTTATGATGTTGCAAATGAAATGATCGTGATGAGAGAATTTGGAGATAGTATACAGTTAAAACAACTATAGACTTCAAAGTGGCTAAGAATTTATGTTAAAACCTTATAATGATCGAGTGTATTTGTGTTGATTTGATTTGTAGATTTAAAATCTATACGCTTGTATGCTAACATGGGATAATCGAAACGATGCCTCTAAAATACCGACTAAAAATTGGTTTATACCAACTTATGTCTCGGTAAGTCATTGATATTCCACTTGCATCATTATTTAGTTTAATATATATAATTTGATCAAACAATTTGTGATGCAACCATACATTATTGAAAAGAAGAAGGGTTGTGATGTTGGTAGCAAATATAAAGAGGATATTCAGAAATGTGAAAAGGTAATGATATGTGAAAAGGTAATGATCTGAACATTTCTGAATATCCTCTCTATATTTATCTTCACACAAAAAATAATGAAATGTGCTACCAACATCATAACCCTTCCTCTTTTCAATAATGTATTGTTGCATCACAAAATGTTTGATAAATTATATATCTTCAAGTAAATAATAATGTAAGTGGATTATCGATGACTTACCCAGACATAGGTTGGGCATAAACCAATTTTTAGTCCGAATTTTTAGTCCGTATTTTAGAGGCATCGTTTCGATTATCCCATGTTAGCATGCAAGCGTATATCTTTCAAATCTACTATCAACACAATTACACTCGATCATTATAACCTTTAAACATAAATAAACTTACTTCTGCGCTTAGCCACTTTGAAGTCTGTAGTCGTTTTAACTGTATTCTGTCTCCAAATTCTCCTAACATCAGCACGATCATTTCACTTGCAACATCAAAGAAGAAAATTAATTAGCAATAAATTTTATATGCATACTAATGATAGAAGTATAGTGCCTCTTGTGGTTGTGGTTTATATCGAATATGTACTTCAAAACATTCTTCTCTTCAAAACTAAAATCCTCGTCAACACCCTAATACAAAAATAAATCATAAAACATGCTATGGGATATGAATAACTAGAAACTTTTAACCAAAGTTCTAGTGTAGTTTGTAAGCAAATTTATGCATGTGAAAAAATTACCTTTGCTTGACTCTCCAAGGGACTCTTTGTGTCATTCTTTGAACTCATAAATTTGGAAGAAACTTCTTCAGAAGCAATGTAAGCATTTGATTTTGTATATATCACTCTTTCGCCTTCTTTTTTTAAGTCTAATGGGGTTTCTATAGATGAATCACTTAACACACCTCATGTGAGTTTATTCTACCAATACCCATTCCACTCATATATGCATCAAATTCAAAATTATAATGAATTTTTTTAGCAACGGCATCTAATTTTTCACGAGAATAGGTTGCATCAACAAATGCTTCATGATCGAATTCGGGTTCATCTTTTGAATGTTTTGCCTTTGGAGTGGTAGATTTATTTTTGATATTAACTTCTCGACAACTTCATCAATAATTGAGCCTTTAAGAGAATTAACCAAATCAAACAATCCATCTAACTTCAGATCCACATCGGCCATGCCCTGAACCATATTATTCATCTTTTCTTCCAAACTAATTAACTTGTTCTCCAACCTTAAGGCTCCATCTTCAACTATAACTCCAACCAACGATAGAATATTAATTATAAATAAATTAAAAGTAATACTTAATTGGTTATAAAAGAATAATAAATACATCATTGAAACTTAGAAAACTTTACATTTATTGTTTCAGTTTTTTTAAAATTAATCTTTCTAGGCCTTTTTGTTCCCATCTAGCAGTATAAGCCACAAAACATTGAAACATAACTCAATTCGCACAAACCATATTTCATACCCAATTAAACAAAAGCCAAAGCTGATAGTATTACGTATAGAACTCAACACACTACCTTTAGTTTGAGAAGCACGTTGAGCTTCAAACTCCTTTTGCAAAACGTTCATAATATTTTTTTTTTAAAATTCTCTAATAAAATAAGCAACTCTGGGAACAGTAACAAAAACATAAAGTGTAAGTGATGTTAATTCTTCTTTATAAGTTATGAAAGAGCCACCAGGTGGAATAAAGAACTCATAGATTGCACTCGTTCGAGCAGTGGCGGAATTTCAAGGCTGCCCAATCGCACGGTCGCTGACGGGTATGTTCACAATTTTGGGCCTGTGCAGTAGCAGCCATGCACCGGCTGCGACTTTGATGAGCCACCGGCCGTCGCACACCGACGTGCAGCCGCGGGTAGAGGCGACCAGCAGGGCACGCGTCGCCGGGGCTGGGTCTCGGCTAACCTCGGGTTTTGACCAACGACGTGGAGGTGACGCCAGCAATGGGAATCGGTGTGTTGCGTAGACGAGCCATTTTACGACGGACCGCCGGTTTTTCGATAACGAGCCATTTTACAACGGACCTTCGGTTTTCGATGAGGAGGCTCCGGGGGCAGGAGGAATTCATCGTGGAGTGTAATTCTCTTTAGAGCAACACCAACAAAGACTGTGACAAATACTGTGGTGTTTCGAAATTCATCCTATCTCATCCCAGCATGGTCTGTTAGCATCATTCCGGAATGCGAATATGTAGTTTTCAACACAGCAAAGGTCAGTGCTCAAAGTTTGACAGTTGAGTTGTTACCGATAAATTTGTAGTTATCAGCTATGTTGCCAAGTAATGGCTTGGAAGGTCTTCAGTGGGATGTGTTTGCAAAGAAAGCCGGAATTTGGGGTGCTTCAGATTTCACTAATAATGAATTGTTGGACCATGGTAACACTACAAAAGGTACTACAGACCACCTCTGGTATACAACAAGTTTACAAGTTGATGTGAATGACGAGATATTGAAAAAGGTACAGATCCTATGCTTGTTATTGAATCAAAGGTCCTATGCTTTATTGAAAATGACTGTTGGTGTTCAGACTTCACATCTATGGTTTTATTCAATTGATTTTTTGAATGAAATAAAATTTGATTGGTTTTATGGTGTTTGAGATTGAGATCTCATTCTTATCCTTCTCATTCGTATGTTTCCCTACATCACTCGGATGCCTTTTCCTATTTGGTTTGAATCCGGGGCCCACGAGCATCAGCAAGAACCGGCCAAAGCACTCTCTAAAAAGAAGTGGAAATTATTGTTCTCTTGGTTTTGAATCAGCACATGTAGTTAACCTTGAATAATTAGTGTTCTGGTGTGTATGTGCATTTGTAGAGTTGGTTAGTTGTGTTACGAAAGCCGAGTTTTTTTACGCGCTTGTCGAGTCCTATGTGTTTTTCGATCGGTTTTGGCCGATTTATGTATTTATTTATTTGCTTATTTTTTAATATTTTGCCAGAACAGTTTTGAGGAGTTGTCCAGTATGAAGACTGCAGGTAGACAGACTGTAACTTATATACCAACTTATTAAGTCCTTTTNTTATTATTATTATTATTATTATTATTATTATTATTATTATTATTATTATTATTTTTGTAATGAAAATGAATTGTAGTCAAATAACCGGTATCCATGATGATAAATTATAATGAACTAAATAACCTTAGTAGGATGAAGGACCCAACAAATCTGGAACCAGAATAAACTATACATACAAAAATTATTTAACAGGAAACAATTTACATAAATTTAAAAACAAAATTCACCTAATTAATCATATTCTTATGTGAGATTTTAAATGATGTGAAAAATAAATGCACAAGAATCAACAATCGAGACTTGGACCAGCTGAGGTATTAATGGTGAAAGGTTACAAGTTAAAAATTATACTAATAATTAAAACCTTTTGACTAACTCTTACACCATAAACATATATAACCCCTCATGATAATTTTTTTTTATATATTTAACTACTAGGAAATATTTTGATAATTTATTAAATAAACATCAACAATAGCAAATTCTCTCTTAAAAAAAGTATCTCTAAAATTAAACAGCGAGTCTTTTTTTTCAAAAAACAGCGAGTCAAATATGAGTTTCTTTTAACTTTAATTTTGGTTTCCTCCTAGGGGTCATACCCCTAACGCATTGTTTTTCTTTGGCATTCATAATCACTCAATTATAATTAATACCATAATTAAAATTGAGATCAATTCCCCTTTGCATCCCCGTATAATTATATAAATCCCCTAACTAGACCTTCCTAATTATAACTCTCACAAGAAACTCTCATCATCATCATATATACATAATTCATCCACCATGGATGAAAAAAATGACGAAGAAGTTCGTCTCGGGCTCGACTTGGCTCTCGGCTTGAACGATTGTAATCCGAAGAAAAACGCAAACACTCCACAAAACAACAAACGGGCGTTTTTTCTCGATCTTTCGATCCCTCTTCATCAGACGAGCAATCACGGCACGACTCACGAGTCGAGCTCTTCACGGATTAATAACGATTTTCGCGGCAAATTAGTGGATGATGATGAAAGCAAACTTATCATGGATTTTAGCTGCAGGAAAAAATTGAGGCTCACTAGAGACCAAACCACATTGCTTGAAGATAGTTTCAAGAAGCAGACTACTCTTAATACAGTTAATCTATCTATCTATCTATCTATCTGTTGGTCGATCTTTATTTATATATATATATATATATTTTGGGTTTTTCGTTATGATTTTAGGCGGATGGAAAAAGACGAAATTATTAATTTGAGATTTATTTTTGGGGGGCTGATATGTGAAATGCAAAATTAATTGATTTTGGTCACACAGGCTCAAAAACAAGCTCTTGCGGAGAAATTGAATCTCAAAGCAAGACAAGTTGAAGTTTGGTTTCAAAACAGAAGAGCAAGGTACATATATAGCAAGCTATTATTTTCAATCTTCCTAAAATATTTCATATACACACACAAAAAATAAAAATCCAATGAAAAAATCAATAGGAAAATATTCCAATTGAATTTCATATGGATATTCCAATGTTATAAATTTCATAGGAGTTGGCTGTCAACACTAAAATCTTCCATTGGAATTATATTTCTATTGGAATTCTAACGGTTCATTGTTGTATTTCTGTTAGAATTGGCTTTTTCAGCTAATAATTCCAACGGCTGTCGTTGATTTTTGCAACAAAAATTACAAGAATGGACTTACTGATGGAATATATATATAATTGATGAAATTTTTCTTGGAAATTGATGATTTCTAATAGTGATATATTATTATTTGTTGCTTTTTTACTCCATGAATAGAAAATGATTGCACCAATTTATCCTAACATGCACTCTTGTAATGGTCACATAATAATTTTGTTTGGCCACAATCACAAATTAAACTCAAAACCTAAACAAAATAAATCAAAAATCAAAGCACAAAAACAAAAGGCATGCTTTGTTTGTTTATTTATTGACAATGCCCATTACTATTTNTGCAACCATATTGGAAAACTTAATTAGTTCTCTTAATTGATGCTTATAATGCAGGACAAAACTGAAGCAAACTGAGGTAGACTGCGAATTCTTGAAGAGAAACTGCGAAAGATTAAGCGAAGAAAATTGGAGATTGAAGAAAGAGCTCTTCGAACTCCGATCATCGTTGAAGAAAGAAGGGGCTATGGAGGTGGTCCAAAACAACCCTAACAAAAACCTAATTGGTACATCAAAAAAAGCTTGAAAAGCGAATTAACTAGGGTTTGTAGGGAAGAAAAGAAATTAAAGAGGGGAAAAATAGTTAAAATACGTGTATATTTTGATAATGATTATTACACACTTTGAAATGATAGTAGTAAAGAATAAATTAGAGAGGGAAATAAAAAATTGTTATTTGTTAGAAATTGTGGGCTTAAGCCAATAATATTTTAGGGTTTTGATTGAAACTATTATTATTGGAGGCTTAAAAGACGCCATAGCCACTAGACTATGGTACAATTGAATTAATTTTATTAATTCACATATTATTGGAAGTATTTGACTTTTTATTTTATTTTATTTTATCATTTCGCTGGAAATCAACGACAATACTGTACACAATTAAGATATATGTATGTGAGTTTGCTAGGTTAAGTTGATAATTGAGTCGTGATGAGCTGAAAATTGACAAAGTAGCTGCTTATACGAGATGATAATGAGCAAAAACATTGACAAATAGTTATAATATGATTTCAAATTAGTATAACATTATTTATCATAGAAGTTATTAATTTACAAATATAGAAAAGGTTGAAATACATTAAAGTGAAAAAAAAAATATATGAAAATAATAGAAGAATATACTAATAAACTAAAGAAAGAATTGAAGTTCGGAAAAATAATTAACTATGAGAGATGCAAAAAATAATTGAAATACATAAAGAAAAAAATAGTTATAAGGAAAGTAATATCTAAAAAGATTTGTAGAATGTGATATAATACAAGATTTGAATTGCAAATCCTCTTCTTTTTTAAAAACATAAAAATGTTTATTCATAAACGTAGTAATACTAATTAAAAGAAATAAAGAATTTACTTTCAAACAAATTATGTGTGTGATATGATGAATATCACAAAATTTTAACCGTCACATACCAAAAAAACAAAAAATTTAAAAAACTGCATAAACAATATGTGTGATCAAATGGTTAAATTTCTCATACCCACATTGTAGGATCTAACTTTCCATAGAAGTGGCTAAAGTACTGTTTATAATAATTTTGTAGCCCACATCTTCATTAGTAGCTTAATTAACTTTTGATTGAGTATATTTCAGCCCCCATAAATCAAAACTCCCTAAGCTAAACAATAAATATATTCTTTTTATCTACTTTTTTTTTTATTACAATCCCGATTATGCTCAGCTCGTGGGGAAATTTATATATAAAAAATAAAAATAAATAAAAAAATAAGTGGACAGAAAAAAAAAAAAAAACAAAACAAAAAAAAAGTGTGGANTTTCTGTCCAGTTAACTTAAAATTATTTTTTTTTGGTAAAAAAATCTCAGCTCGTGCATCCCACATAATTATGACATCATTTTTTTTTAAATTTCCCTTTGTTTAGGGCTCTGAAGGCACAGTTTTCGATGAATTTACGATCTTTTTTTCTTTTTCAAGAATTACTTAGTTTGGTTCTTGTTATATCACGAAACTCAAGATTTTGAGATTATTGGATTAGGTGATAACGACTAGCTGATTAATTAGCATTTTCCACTAGCTGATTGGATTAGTTGCTTATGCAAAGTGATTAGTAAAAAGTGAGTTGTTTGATGAATAAAAACAACTGACTTTGCATTCCTCGATTCCAAAAATTAATTTTTGATGAATTAAACCTACTATAATTCATCTCAAATCGTGATTAGTTAAACACAATTAATACCCTCTAAATTTATGTCAACTATTTGCATCAAGTGAGTTATTATTAGACACTCCCTTGAACACAGCCTTATAGGTACCTAGTTAACTTTTAATAAGATCATATTTTTATTTTCTCTATTTTTAATTTATCTAATTTCTGGGGCTAAATCTACATGTCTATGGCAAGCTAATCTAGTGATCCACATGCATGACCATAATTTTCTTTTAGTAGTTAATTTCTAACAACTATAAATAGTCAAAGAACAATCCCTTCTTCAAGTTGCACGTTCGATTTTGGAAAAAGAANCACGTTGGATTAATGAATAAATTGGAATATAATTAGGTGGCTCTTGATTAATAGTCCTAATTGCAATTTATAACTCGAAAACATTGTAATCATCCCACTATATTAAATGAATGACCCTACACATATCAATTTTGAACACATAGTTGTTCAAGAAAATCATAACATATATTTAATTCTCATGTCCTTTTCTCTCCATTAACAATTCTATATCTAAAGCTGTTAAAAACGATTGGGCTCAACTTAATTCGTTAAGTCTCGAACTCCGTTCGAATCCATTTGTTTAATAAAAGAGCCAACGTGAATTTGTTTTTCTAATGAACAGACTTCTGAGCTCGACTCGTCTTAACGGGTTTAAAATAAGAAGATTTATGAAATTTTTTATTGTTCGTCTCGTTAATATTGACAAACGAGTCGATTGCGAGTTTGTTTATCGACTAGTTTTGTTCACGAGCCCAACTTGAATGCTCGAGCTCGAGCATCATGAGTTCTAGCTCGATTCGCCTCGTCTACACCTCTAGTCATATCCTTATGCTCAAGGCCCATTTTTTCATGGTGAAGCCCAGACTAATAAAAATAGTTAGAAAGGACCTGCACCTGCCCAGCTTACTCTTTCTGCATGGCCCATCGAGCCAATGAGTTGGGCCAAGAGGGGCCGAATTCTGTTAGAGCTAGGAAAAAGGAGCCCAAGTATGAAGTGCAGATTTTTAGAAAGGAAATGAAGCAACAAAATGAGACTTTTAATCTGGGATTTTATGATAAGTGCTTTGAAAAATGGGGATAATTCCCAAAATGTGTGGGTTTACCATATATGTTCTCTTGGGTTTACCATATATGTTCTCATAAGAAACACATACATTCTTATTACACATTAGCACTTGAAAGTCTACTTCCAAATGGATAAAACACAAGTCCACNACACACCTTGTTGCCAAACCATATCAAAGAATTTCCCGGTTATTGATATTCGTTTTAGTGATTGTTTGCACCCGAGCTTTTCCGAGAAAGATCACTTTTTCTCCGTGGTTACACCAACTACAACATTGGTCACCTAAATTGTTTGAAATATCTTCAGAATACATGTTGAGATGGAAAAAAAAAAGAAAAAAAAGGTAAGTTTTTTAGCACAAAATGATGTAATGTAAACAAGAAATATACCAATTTCCCACTCTTGTCAACGGACATTGGGTTTTCTACGACAACTGTTTGGCTCTTGGAATTAGGCAGTCCCTAACATTAGACACAATATTAAAAAAATATAAACGATTAAGGTAAAATATTCGACTTAGTTTTTGAAACTCACAGCTGAAGTTGATGGTGTAGATGCTAAAGAGCCTGGTGCAGTTGGCTGATTCATAGGAATCGAGACCCGAACATTTCCCATCTGCACATAAGAAGACATATAGATATAACAAAAAAAAAAAAATGGCATGAGATTCGAGAGTAAGTGGTCCAAAAAAACACGACTCCAAAAGAATCCTTCAAACTTGTATTAACAGATTAAAGTACACAATTAGCAAAATATACTTACGTTTACATTAGTGATATACTGACAAACGGCACATTTGACAGATGGGGCACCATAAGGGTACATGAGGGTCATGTGGCAATTCCCACAATTGATATGTGCGGTATTAGGTGCTGAACAAAAGAAGAAAAGGCATAATAAATGAAGATTGTGCAGCGGATATTTAGTTTTGTAACCTATAGTTCTTACAGAAGTACCATAATAAATGAATAAAATCTATCATTTCTAAAATCTAACTACATATGACGCATGAAACTAAAATATGCTATACCTAAAGAAGAAAATCCTGTAACTCTTGCTAGATTGTTCAAAATGTAAACACAAATTAATACACTAGTTACCCGAGCATAATAGCATTTATCAACATATTTAGGAAAATTATATGGTGCCACTGGATGAAAAAAAATGTAGAAAGAGAAATCTAACAATTAATAATTAACATAAAGGCACGATTACAAGAGAGAACAACAGAAAACATTTTTCGCGATAGCTTGTTTTGAAAAATGAAAGAAAAAGTTCATCGAAAGTTCAACAAGGAAACAATAACTTCCCAATCAATCACCAAAGATACATACAAACCATAATGAATATTCAACACAGTACTCATCTACAAGGCAAAGACACGGTCATTAATTAAAGTCCATGATCATTTTTTGGGAAAATTTAATAATTTATTGTGCAGGCATTCATATTTTCTTATATATACTACCTGGGGAAAGGTTTACTGTGTGACAACACGAACATCTGACACTAGTGGCACCACGTGTATGCATCAATAATGTACGGCAGCTTCCACATATCAACTGGGCCATCTCCATTCCTGATAAAGAACTGATTTTATTCGTATAAATCCATAAATCAAGTGTAATATAATGGGGCAGTGCCTTATATTCATAAATAGAAATACCAAGTATTTGTTGAGCATAACACGCGTGTATAATCAATATGTAAGATAAATTCCTGATAGCTGACTCAGAATTTTAATTTAGTTTTGAAGCTTCAGATTCATGAAATAAAGACAAAGCTAAACTAAGACAACCCAAGATAAAATGGATTTGAAGTCCAACTGTGAATTCAAGTAATTTGCAACATGTTGCAAATAAGCTAAATAGATCTCTTATTAAGAATTGAAAAAATCCTTAACTTCATATAGAATACTCATGACTCGACACTAGCTAACAACCTAAAACCTAATTCTCATTTCCAACACAAAATTTTATCAACTAATGCAGTAAGCGATATAATACCAAATCCCATGTTCAAATAAATATACTACATAACCAACAATCAAAGCACACAGAATATCATGCAATTTCATAATCCCAGTCGCCAAATTAATTATCTCAAAATCACAAAATTCAATTCGATATTTTTAACAAAAACCGAAAACAGTCGCACATTTAGTTCCTCCAGATGTCCAAGAATCAAACTTTATAGTTCCTAAGACACATACAAAACCAAAATGCAGCATTAAATCATAGATTAAAGCAACCAGGGAAAGTAGGCCATCGATCGATACTTTATCCTTTCCAATCATTGATTTTCATAAAATGTTTTCTTCGAACACACTATGCTTCTTCTTCTTCTTCTATAAATAAACATATATATTCAGAGTACATTAGCAGCTCCATGGAAATTAAGGTAAAAAAACCTGGAGGAGGAACATTTGTGATGGCATTACACAAGGCGCAACGCACATTGCCGGCCCCGCTAGGGTACATGAGAAGGCTCCTACACCCGCTGCATACTATCTGGCTCTGCATTTCCTCTCACACTACACAGACACACACAAACACAGATTATCTGAAACCCCGATAAAAATCCAGTGAAACCCAAAAGAATTTCGAAACTTTTAAGGAAAATCTGGAATTTTTACAAGATTCGCGATGGTGGAGCTAGATTCGTACAACAGAAGCTGGGAGCCGATGGATTCTCAAATCATCGGAGACGACGACGGCAAATTGTGGTCGGGAAATTGAGATTACACAAAAATGGTTTTTTTTTTTAATTGGGATCGAAATCGGAATTCCGATCGGGTGTTCAATCAGAAAAGGAAAAAGATGGTGTGTCCTCCTGACAATCTCTTCCAACCATTTGTAACCGTGTTAGGGGTAATTGCCATAAATGGAGCCATGGCATGGCCCTCTGTTACTTTCATTTTCTTCATTTTTGCGCGCTTTCATTTTTTTTCTCCTTTTATCTCAAAAAATAATGTGAAAGAAAAAAGACCTGGCCACAAGCTGGAGTCGACTCTTTTGACCAACTAACAAATGAGTTCAAACTCGTTTAGTTAATGAATCAAGATGATTTGAAAATAAGAGTTTTTACATTTTATTTAACTAGAATTTTGTTCGAATTTATATAAACAAATCGAGTTCGAACTCATTTACCAGAAGGTCGAGCTCCACCCAGGGGCGGAGCTACTTTAAAATGAACCTGGGCTGTAGCCCGGGTAAAGTTTCAAATATTTTGAGCATTGTATGTTAAAAATGAAGTCAATCTATATAGTAGACCACTTTTTGTTTCTAAGTCCTATTTGCCCAAACAATTAAAACGTAAAGTAAAACCAACAGCACAAATAAATAACACAACATCATATTATTGAATTACCATCTAATGAACTTTTGAAATTATTTATTTAGTGTTTGAATTTTTATTTTTTTTTTCTTTTGGGAAGTATTGGTGAGAAATCTATTTCTTAGAAATATATTGTGAAAAGAATTTTCACTTTTTATATTAGTTTATGTATATGTATTCTTTTGTCCATATTTTATACATATCTTATGAGTTAAAATCAATAATTTTTTGATAATCTACAAATAGACATTCATGTAATCATGTAGAATGTAAAAAATAATTTTTTAATGCTATTTATTACCCATCATTACCAAATACACTCTACAAGAAAATTATGCAATTCCAACGAAAATATATTTCAATAAACTCCAACGAAAATATATTTCAACAGAAATAGTAGCAATGGAATGTCCATTGGAATTGCCTTTTAAATTCAATTGAAATATATTTTCGTTGAAATTTTGTGTTGGAATTTCATAATTTTTTTTGTAGAGTGTATTTGGTAATGATAGGTAATAAATAGCATTAAAAAAATTATTTTTTACGTTATTTCAAGATATACATATTATTATTTATCGAGAAAATTACATTTTTAGACTTCAGTTATTAATTTATCCTTTTCACATTTAGTACATGGTTGCCTCTTTGCCTGTTTTATTTTTATTATTAGTAAGTTTAAAATTAAAGACTTGATAAGTTGAAATATTAAATCATGCTAGTAAAAGATAATTCAAAATAACGTTTCTTAATCTAAATAATTCTAGCCCGGGTAGATTTCAAATCCTGGCTCCGCCCCTGGCTCCACCACATTAGATTTACACCTTTTCACGTGCGGATAGTGTCTATTGCTCTTTGATTTATACTTATTATCTACAACTTTACATCATTTTGCATTTTTATGCGAGTATTATTTTTAGTAGGTAGATTTAATGGTTTGACATTCATATTTTTCTCTATAAACCATAATTTCATACTAAAATGTGATGCCTCAAAACCATACAACCAAAATTATATTACTTCATATAACAAGTGTGCATTGAGCAGTATCTAATTCTTACAGAATGTAGTTCATGAATTATTACAAAACACAAGGAAAAACAGTGAATCAAAATGGATTGAACAAAGAAAGATCAACTGATCCAAACCATACATTTAGTCCAACACCTTCAATTCCACACAGACATTCACACACACACAAACACAACTAATTAACCAAATCAAAAAAAACATAACTTAGAACATGAGTGACTTGAATTTCCTCTTGGCAAAACCAACATAATCACTTCTGCTCCAAGGTCTTAAACAACTCAAATAACTCCCATAATTAAAAGACGATAAAGAAGAAGTCGATCGTCTGAAAGAAGCCTCCGACTCCACATTCTTCTTTTTTCTCCTCCAAAGTCGAGCCCTTTTCCAAGTCGACCCGTTCTTAGCCTCATCCTCGTCTTCTAGAAGCTTCGGAAGTGGCAGAGAGAGGCTCTGCACGGCCGGTGGAAGGCTCGGAGGCGGTATGAGCTCGTTTTCCGGCAGGTTTTTTGGTGTTCCCGGTTGCGATTCCCATCCAAACGGAACACTAGCTGGAGTTTGCCCGTTTTCCAAGGGAACCGAAAACTTTTCTAATGCCGAGGCCCTCGAGAAGATCCTATTGTCCAACGAGTCGCAATAAAACGGGCCATCATCATCAATAACCGATGACGAACCCAAAACATGACTATTCGACGAAAAAGTCGAGAGAGAAGAGCTTGAGGAGAAGCTCGAACCCACAAAAACCGAGCTCGTTTGCTTTTTCTTACGACGAGTACTCCATTTGCCTAGTGAACCCATCTTCTTACTAATTACATCCCGTATGAATTTTGTTTTCGCTATTTTTCTTATACTCCAAATATTGGCCGAATCTTTTGCTCGGTTTTCTTGATCGTGCAAGCTCGGCAAAGGGAGACCCGAACTCTGCATCATAGGTGAAGGACTTAGTGGGAAAATAATTCGATCTTCTAATGGAGGGTCGATAGGCGTGCCGGGATTCGACTCCCATTTGAAAGGAACTCCTAATTCGGGCAAACAGTAGAAAATACGAGAAGATTGGCCAATCGAAGCCTCCCGAGGGAGGATTTTACCAATGCAAGATTTGTCGCAGTGGAATATCGAATTCGGCTCCATCATGCATGCATATATGATTATATTCTCATTTT